GTAAATTATCTCCTCATGAATTACTTCGTTTTGCTGAAAATCGTTTTGAACCATTATCACGTTTACTTAGTAGTGTTATGAAATCAGAACAAATTTTAGATTTAGCTGCAGGTTATTATGATAAAATTGAAACATTTTTTAATCGTTCATTAACATCTAAAGAAAAATATGAATTAAAAAAAAGTATATTACAAGCTAATATAAAATATTTAAATTCATTTGATGAACTTGAATATATTATTCAACGAAGATTAAATGAACAACAATTACGAACACTTATTGGTAAACAATATCATGATATTGAAATACGTTTAGGTAAATTATTAACAGAAAAACAAATACGAAATATTTTACATGAAGAATATGATTCTTCATTAGTTGAAGTTGAAGATCTTGTTAATTATTTAAAACGAAAAAATCAAGATAATCATAAACGAACACAATTTATTTTTAATCGACTTATGAAAAAAATCGATCAAGATTATATTGAATCTCCAAAAGAATCTATTATAATAAAATCTTTAAGACCATTTAATATCACATCATCTCTTCAACAGAAACAATCCGATATTGAATTTCATCAAAGTACTATTGAATTATTAGAACAATTATCGAATGATGTACAACAACATAAAATAATTAAACAACAAGATAGTTCAATAGATTCACGTTCATCGGAAATATTCGATGATAAAAGTACATCAAGTTATGATGAATATAAAACTCAACAACAATTATTACCTGATAAAGAAACAACTCCTAAATCGACTTCTTCATCATATGAACTAATTTCATCTCCTGTTCACGAAATTCAATCAAAAAAAGTATTTGAAAATATAATACGTATCGTTAAACCAATTGCTGATAAAGAACATATCGAAGAAATGACAACCGTAACAAATGCTATTGATAAATTTCAAATGAAAATTTCTCGAAATGGTATTACATTTTTATTTAACGAATACAACACAATAAATGAGTGTGTCATGAAGAAACCGTGCCAAGCGATAAATCTGAGTTCGGACTCTATATACATAGGGGACACTCCAGTAAGATGTGCAAAAATTTCCAAAACTATATAAACTTTCTTAAGTATTTCATCCAGAGTTATAGGCATTTTAATAGGGCTACTTGTAACATTGAATTTCCAAAAATCACTCATATCCCATGAAAGATGCAAGAACCTTATGAAGGAAACATTTGTTTGTTTTGTGTATACTGTCCTATAGACTACGATTCTAGTAAAAAAGTTATCACTCTCAGTGGAAGGTTTAGAGACTCTTCTTCATTTGGAGTTTTCAGACTGTAACAGATAACTAAGCAATGCTCTTCTCCTCTTGTTTCAAATCGTAATTAGAGTCCTTCATGTGGCTTCGAAAGTCTTATCATTTTTTTCTTTATATAGCATTTATTTTTTTGATAATTGTAACGTCCAGAAAAATAGAAAGATTTCATCGACATTAGATTAACTCTTACACAAGTGATTATTGCAAAAAAAAAGATCAGCACTATTCAATATCTCCTCTTTCGTACTTTTTATGAGACCTTGAATTATATAATATCGGTGTACACGTAAGCTATTGCTAATTTATGAAACAAAACTTTCAGAACGACGTGATAGTTAAAAAAAAGGTGATTCTGCATGTCTCTAATCGCGACAGATCGTTTATCAATAACGTCTCGTTATAATATATGAATTACTTTCTTATTGCATTTCTGGAGGACTAAATACAATGATGCTAAAGAAATGTATCACAACATAGATAGCATAATCAATTGTTCCTTCATCCAAGATTATCAATCGTGTAATACTCTTAAGTTTCTGTGGAAATTTGTTCTTTCTATTTTATGTCAATCTTTTGATCAGCCTCAGCACGATTGATTGATCATTTTGACTTGTACAAATATCATTGATGTCAAAGAACTTTCTCATTTAATTTTATGATCATAGGAAAATGATAATTCTATTATCTTCGTATAGAATCTTGGTCCTAGACCATTCTTCAATATTTGCTTAGTTCTTTCTGCAGAAGTATCTAGTTTTCTCCATAATTTTCAAGCACAAGTAGTTCGTTATTTTTGGGTATTTTCCTTGGTTCTGATTATACTTTGATCTGATCGTTAGATGAAACAAGACTGACAAATAATTTTGTATCATCTTTTTACTGTGGCTAGACCTATGACATCATTTAGATCGCGAAGTATTTCTGTTGAAATATCACCATTTTCGTACTTCGAAAAAACAACATTTCGAAGGTATTTACTCTTCATTATCTAAAAACTTAAATACATGCGTAAGTTAAACATAAGATAGATCAATATGTAGAAAGTTAAATAGTATTGAAAAAGTTATTGTAGCAATACTGAAAGACTTGATTTATTTAGATGCACCCGCTGTATCAACAATATTTTTAAATGATTTTTCTTCAAAAGTTGATAAACCAAGTAGCCGTCAAACGACATCAACATGGTTATCTAATCTTAAGAAAGATACAACATTATCTTATTTACCAACAATTAAACCTATAGATAATAAATCAATCAATCGTGAACTTTCTTCACCAGAAATTCGTACGGCTGATGATTTATATTTGGGTTGGACATTATTTAAAAGTATTGATCGTCCAGATGTAGGTTTAAAAGAAGAAAAACCACGTATGATTAATGTTAAGCATATAGCACAGACTTTTGTTGTTGGTATTCCTGAGGAATATGCTGATACGAAAACAAAAGGTAAGAAAATTATAAACCTTAAAGATATTTATTTTGTATATTCTATATTATTTAAAGTTATTGCAAATAAAATCTATCAAGGCAAACCTATTCTTCCTCGTTTACCCAAATCTCGAATAATTAAAGAAATGACTGAATTTGTTTCACAATTATTTCATATGCCAATCATCAGTGATGCTACTGTAAATAAAAGATTTATTTTTTCGACAACTGATGTTGATATATTTTATTTCATAGCATTTTATTGTTCCATCACGAACTTACAACGATATAATCGAATCTATGAACATATATGAATCAGAAATTATTCATATCGAAGATGATGAATTACAAGTAAAAGAATTATTTTAAGATGCCAGCAAAAGTTTTTTTTTGTCATGGTGAGATAGAACACACACGATGTGTAAAGCCTCGGTAGTCTTTTTTTGATCTAACTCTTCGTATATTTAGAAAAAAAATGATGAAAAATTTTGTTTGATTATTGAGAAGATCAAGTTTTTGATTTGATAATAAAACGGTATAAATACGGATCTGTTTTCCAATATTTCAACCATCAGAATTTCAATGGATTATTTCATTTCTTCACTATTCTTTTACTAAATATCCTAGAAATACTATAAGAAAGAACTTTTATGTTTATAACGAGAGGTTATTAATATACAGTATGTGATCGTATATCAACAACGAATCCATGACTGTTGTATCCCACACAGGTACTTCCACGACACTTGCTCTCCATACACCTTGAACAGAGCTCTTATTGATAACAAGTACAATAGATAAGTTTATTGAAATAATGATATAGAAGTCAAAAAAATAGAATAAGAAATATTTTATTCATTATACAATTGGAAATAAGCAAAAACAACAGAAAAAATAGAACTAGTGTGTCGGTGTTACCGAAAGGAAGACTCACATCTACGTCCTATTCGGTGCTCATGGGTAGTAAAGACGTTTAGAGAGCAAGTGCTTGAGAAGTGACAATCGTGTTACCATCAACAATGTCTGTCACAATCCATAGAGCGGGATGAGTACAAATTTTCATAAAATCCAACCATGACAAAAAAAATGCTTAAAAAAGTTTTCTTTAAATTCGAATTGCCGGCATCCTATATAAATTCATTTTAATAAATCATTGACATTAGATGCGTGATTCACCAGAAACACTTGAATGGTATGAAGAATGTATTCAACGAAATGTTCAAATACATGCTCAAATTCCTACTGAATATCAACCATCGATTATTTATTGTCATACGGGTCGTCAGTCGATAATAACACCAGCTAAACGTGCTGAACAACGAAAAGTGTCGATGGGAGGTACGATAGAAAAATCTAAAGTAGTATTAGATCAACCAGAATCAAACGTACAGAAAGATATGTCTACATTCAATAGTGGTTTTATTGAACGTTTTAGTCAACCACTGTTTGATTTTCAATCTATAGAACCTACATCAACAAATCAAACGGTGAATATCATTTTTCTTTTTTTGTTCTTTTCAAAATAAATCATTTATCTACAGGAAGGTGCAAAAATCCTTGTCCTCAAATATGCAATTTTTCTAAAAGCTTTAAAACCAATTTTTTAAGAATTCTATGGAAGATGAGTAGAGACCGATATGTAGCTATACAAACTAAAATTCGTCTTAAACATTTGTGTTTTGAAACAAAGTACCTCGACAACGAAATCTTATTTCTCTAAAAGCTAAGCAATAGATTATTTTATAGTACTGAAAGAATAGCAATCAATCGCCTATTACAATTACTCGCGCCTGATAGACATTATCCTCTGGACTATCAAAACCAACATCGTCTATAGAAAAGACAAAATCGTACAGTTTAGCATAGATACGATAATGATCGATCTCGCAATATTACTATCGTTTAGTATAAGATCGTCAGTGAGTTGATTCGACGATAGAACAAGACAACGGCGAAAACACTGATACAAAAGCGTTTCATGACCGAAGTGATCATGCATTCCTATAGAAGATACAGCGGCAACTCAAATGGTTAGGCTGAAAAAATACTTAGGTCTATGCAATGCCAATGTCAGCATACGAAAATAGAAGAATGCAAGTGTCAAGAGGTTAATTTAACACAAAGGCAAAAATTGGAGCTGAATAAGGCTCATTAGCAGATCTTCCCACGAATTATTTAGAAATAGAAGATTCGTTCACGATCAAAGAATTCAAGAGTCATGTCAAGCGAATTGTGAAGCACAATGTGATAACGACAGAGAAACTAACGCCAATATACCGATCGATATGATGTGCGCTATATCAACGATTTTGTTTTTTGCGAAAGTGTTGTATCAAAACGGATGAATCTTTTTAAAGCCTATTAAAACTGATGGAATAGAGTCTTTTTCAATGCATTCGAATAATGTTGATGCATCTAAACCTCCTGTACTAGTCATAAGAGTCTAAATCGATCCTAGTAATTGAGATAAATTTTGTATGAGTAACATATATTCTGAAATTCTTACACGTTACTATATATTTAACATTATGTAGGTAACTGATTTAATTATGCATACAGTAACAACTTCTCAAAAGACAAATTTATTAGAAGCATTAGAAGAATTATTTTCTCAAGAAAATCTTGATACATATCAAATAACTGAAAGTCATTGGCAAGATATATTTCTTATATTACTTAATTCATATCTTCGTTCACATTCATTAAATCGTAAAGAAATTTTTCAACGATTAACAGATAAACTTCATGATTTAAGAAAAAAAGAACGTCGACGTTCATCAGATTTTTATCCAAGTATTTCTGTAGCATCATTAGCAATTGATGAAACAATAAATACATCAAATGAATCTGATACAATAGAAACTAAACGAAAAAGTTTTCACTTTGGTAAAATACAAAAGAAATATTTCATTTATTCAAATTTTATTTATATTTATCATAGGATTAAGATCATCATTTGATAGTATGAATAGTGGTCAAAGTCCAAATGATTCAGAATATAATACTTTACCAGTCACCACAGATCAACAAAGTATTACTGGTCAAGATAAAATACTTTCATCAACAAATAACAATCGTTTAATACAATCATTCTCACAAAATCATTCATCTATACGAAAGTCTAAAATAGTCTCTCATGATCATAGTCATGAAAAATACTTTCATTTTCAATCAAACATGGATAAAGCTAATGCAAATTCAATAGAACACATGAACAAAAATCCATCTGCTACAAGACAACATGTATCGATTAATTCAAATGCTGTTAATGAATATCAATCTTCTTCAGCTTCTATGAAACATCGTCGATATAAGATTACTGTTATGCATACTGATGAATCATTAGATGTACCTTCAAATCAATATAAGACATCAACTGAAGTAATATTTACAATTTTTTTTTTTTTCGTCATAACAAACTTTATATTTTTCGTGTAGTCTACTAAACTTCCTCCCATTGTATCTAAAAAAACAATCATTTCAAAAAAAAAAGACAAATTCTAGCAACAGTACCACTTGTTAATCAAATATTACCGTCTTCATCAAATACTACAACTACAACAAAACAGATTCGAAGGAAAATATTTTCTAACTTTCAAAACAAATAAATTTAAATATTTTCAAATTATATTCTATCATAATGTTATTTAGTTTATATTATGTGTTGTTTTGCTTAACAAATCTCATATCCAAGAAATAATCGTTGATATTACTAGACATACAAAGAGCGTAAATATACACGAAAATATTGTCTCATTTATATACGTATGACACTGATATCCAAATTCATGATAGAAAAAATTACCATTAAATTGCAAGCTGTTAATAAAACAGATAAAAGTGTGGCTCTTTATATATTTTTATTTTTTTTTTATACTAAGCATACCTTGTTTCTACCGACTTTTTTTTTGTCTCAATAGTAGATAAACGTATGAATATTTTGATTTTACACTCTATTCGATATAATTATAGGTGCTTGTCATGTTTCTATAATTAATAGTTCTCATCGTTGGTTTCTTTATGCCTAAAAATGGTTTCTTTTCTTAGATCTAGGTTATTTCTTAACTATAAAATAGTCCACTGTTTTCAACACATGACACGTTTTGAAACAGCAAAGGCTCAATATCAATATATTGACGATATTTTAACAATACTAAGTAGTCCTATTAAAAACTGTTATATATCAATAATCAGCGCAGCATCATTGATGAACTGATATAGATAACTCCTCTATAAACAGAAAACATTTTTTTTTGTCTCTAGACTCGTGCAGAGGAATACAGATATAGAGTTATAAAAAGGAGGTCTGTTATTTTTCTTATTTCTTTTTCGAACTTTTATTTCGAGTATGTAGTCTTGATTCATGCATGAAACTCTAGAAGGATCTATAAATATCTCATGTTCATTATAAAAAATTAATTTTTCCATATTCTCGTACTCTTCTATTAACTATGAAAAAGGCACCGATGAAAACTACTAATTATAGAAAATTATAGAGCATCTATAACCATATCAAATTAAGTTTAAAAACAAAAAAAAATTGCATGAATTTATCTTAGAACATCTTACAAATGACAATGTCTATGCGCACCATATATATAGAGTTTCCAAGGATTATAACCAGCATATAACCATTTAATACATCAAAAAATTTCATAAAACTTGATTTCTTGTGTATTATTTGATGCCTTGCAAAGCTACATAAATGATACATCCCGGAACTTAAATTGAACTAAATTTCATGTTGTAAGATGAGCAATTAAATATGCAACAGCTTTTTCAATTCTAAATGAAATAATTGATGTATAAGCCAGTGTCAAATCTCGGATTTTGGTACATGTAGAGCATTTTTATGAAAAGAACAATTCGATACTAGTACAAATACGTCTTTTAAAGCCCATTAAAACAATGCCTAATCCACATTTTCTTTTTTGGGAGGGACGATTTAAAACTTCGGGAAGGCAAACATCTGTTTTTTGGAAGCATAGACTCATAGTACGTAGTATAATAACTACAAACTTCGGAATGGTAAACCCGATGTTCGGAGGAGACGGCCTCCATACTAGATTAAAAAAACCTGCATTTATTATAATATTAGGTCATTTTCGAAAGAGAAGTCGATCGTTCTCAGTGCCCCCTCTAAATCTGACATTTATACAAGCTGCCAGTATTAATCATATCCACAAGATATATTATTAAAAAAGATAAAGTACTATTAAATCATACAAAAGGCCATTGTAATGTGTCATGAGACTAAAAAGAATAATTTAAAACAATAATATAAAATTTAATAGAAACAAATAAGGAAGTATTGCAGCTTGTTTTTTTATATAATAAACATTGACAACATATATCATTATAAAATTTTGCTTTATATTCTCAAAAAAAAAGAATAATAGAAATCAATATAATCAATGTTTTCTTTTTCATGTTTGTGATGGCACTGCACTATGTACAGTTTGTTCATTTTTTAAATCATCATATGATGGTAATTTATTATCATCGTTATCAATATTAGCTATGGCTTCAGGATAAGCTGGTGGTAAATCTGGTTTATAATGTGGTAGTTCAATAGTAGATACTTCAGGTCGTATAATAGGCATACGATGATTTGATGATAAATTATTTGAAGAACGAGATCGCTTCAAAAACTTATAACATAAACGAATAAGAATCATGATAAAAATAAAAACAACTGCGAATATAGTCAGAAGTTTCAACGCCAAACTGTATGACTTATATTGAATAGGTTTTTTAGATGTTGTTGAATATTTCGTAGTTAAAAATAATGTTAAATTTCTCAAAAGAAATTGTTGATATTGATTTAGAGTAGAATTATTCATTGATCGAGTAAATTTTGTTGGTTATAAAATATTCTTTTGAATAAATGTTGAAAATTGTCTGTGTAATAAAAACAAAAAAACTAAATAGAAGCATCGATTGTAATATAGTAAAACATACATAATAAATTCGTTTGATTGATACGTTAAAAATTATTCGAGTTTTTTTTTTTTTTTTGTTTTTCTTTTATACTTTATCCGATTTTAACGTCACACGATTTTTCATCTTCATACATGTCACTATTCTTTTGTCAATTTAGTATCACCTATTGACACAACTCGATAAGAAAACAAATCGCCAGAAAAAAGAATTGACTGACATATAATAATAAAAGAAAAAAGAAAACTAGGAAGAAAAAAGAAAGGTTACGATAAATATTTTTATTGACACAAACAGCCATGACGTTTTTCACTTCTTTTTCTTTTTTTGTCATTTGAAGTTGTTTATGTCGCTTTGTTTTAAATAATATGATATGGAAATTCGAACGTTTTTGTTATCAAAGTATTCTTAAATATCATGTCAACTTACACTTAAACCTATTTCAATCAATTCTTTTTGCAATGAATATGCTTAGAGATCTATAAAGGATTAGTGAACAATAAGCATGAGAATACTCAGCAATGAAGAAAAAAAATTAAGCATGCAAAAAGATGAATATGAAAGGCGTAGGTGTGAGTAGGAATGAAGAGAAGGCTCACACCCATGTTCACCTACACACTTACACTCATATACATTCATTGATCTTTCAATTGACGTCATATGGATCTTTGCTGTTCTGTGCACTTTAATTTTTAGTACTAAATGTACTCGGATTTATTGTTTCTGTTTTAATCTTCGTTGTGTAAGATACTCTCGACTTTTGATCATAAATTAGTTCAATTAAAACATTCAATTGCTATTCACAGATACTAATATGAGGTAATTATCATTGTGAAACACATTTTATTAATGTTTTGTTTTTTTTCTCCGTTTATTTTAATCAATATAGAAACTTTTTATTTCACTACATCTTATATTTCAAATTATTTTCTTTTAAATCTTTCATATTTATGTAAAACGTAGATGAACAAATTACACATTAGTTTACACGATTTAAATGTTTGACTTCGTTTTTTGTCGTTCTTTTTTGTTGAACAACATTAACAAAAGAAGAGAAAAATATATAGATAGTTATTATGCGCGCACACACATACAATCGAGATTCATACATTTACACAAATTTTCGACCCTGAGATAATACAAGATAATAGAAAAAATTGATTGACTAGTAAATTATTTAATCAATCTTTTTCTTGTGTTGATTCTGATAATGAAATTTGATCAGATTTATTATTCATGGTAGATTTAATGTCGTTCTCGATTGGTGTTAATTGTTTATCAGTATTATTTGTATTTAATGGACGGTTTTGGCGATATTGATGATAAATAGGCATTCGATTTAATCCATTTGTTGATGATTGAAGAAAAGGTTTTATTGAATTATTTGATTGTAAAATACGTGTATTCTCATATTGAGATTGTAAACTTAATGTTGCTAATTGATTTGTTGCATATTGAATTGATGTTGGATTATTAGGTGGAATCATAAAAGACGGAGCTAAAATAATTATTATAATAATAATAATAATCAAAAATATTAAATTAATAAATTTAACCTGGTTGAATAAATGTTGTTTGTTGTGTTTGAGGATAAGGATGTGTTGGATATAAATGAACAAAAGGTGGTTGACAATAAGGATTATTATCAATAACTGGTGGTATAACATCGGATCGATAAACCTAAAAAAAAAAGAAAATTATTTTATTTTATTTATTAAAAATTTATATTATTCTTACAGGTAAATATTGTCCATCCAATGATAATGATGGTTGTTGTTGTAAACTATGTGTAGGAAATACATATTGAATTTGACCAGTTGGTTGTTGATGAAGTAATATAGGAAATTGAATACTATTTCCATGTTGATATGTTGTTGGAGATATCATTGGTACATAATTATACATAGGTGAACCAGATGTTTGTTGTTTAAAATTATGATCAATTAATTGTTGTTGTGGATAATATGAATTTAATGTTGCTGGGTAAATTGGCTGAGCTAAAATAAAGAAATATATTTTGAACTACTAGTTTAAATATTCACATAAATTGACTGTCAGCTCATACGGAGTCTCTATTTAAATACGAAAAATTATATCAAATCAGTCATTTAAACTAATAGTTTTTCGATAGAGAACAGTGATAAAAAATATGAGATCAATACTTTTTATTAGTATTTTTCTTTTTGAAACTAAATACGATAGTGTTGAGATTTCAGAAGATTAGATTATAAAAGTACAAAATGGTGAATAGAATAAGGGAAACCCCCTTTGTTTACGACTTGCCCTTTAAAACTCTGAAGCATCGCAAATAACAAAAACATGCGACTTTTAACAATGCTACGATAAATTTCTCTTTGTGATACTTATAACTTTTTAATGAAACATCGAAGAAAATGCAAAAACCTCTCATTTTATTCAGAATTTTACCGTAACTTAAACATTCTCTATCTTTAATTTTTCCAAAATCCTTCTTTCATCATTTATCTATTAAACATTCGGTAAATGAGAACTTCATTAATTTCTATTTAGATTTGAATTTATCGTTAAATATCCTAGGCAAAAAAAAAAAAACCTTAAAATACATTGGTCTTATATTTTCCACCCATATTGTACGTAATGGAAGAAATCTTTTCATTTCATTATAAAATAAAATAGATTGTAAAAAACTATTTGAATACTCGATCGTTTATCAATACAGTTCCATGTATAAAGTTATTTTAAATCATTTATCTTTCTGTATTCTCTAATGAAAAGAAAAGAATGGAAAACATGTCCCAATAGAATGAACTTGATCATATGCAAAAGTATTCGAATGATGCATAATAAAAGTCAATACTTATTTGTCTGAATTTTTCTTTTATGCTAATTCAATTTATATATATATATATATGTATGGAAATAGATGGAAAAAAAATCTATGTAAATGATAATTATTTACTTCTTGTATTGATAATATGAGTTGATGGTTGAATATTTGTTTGTTGTGTATGATGACTTGTATTAAAACGTTGTTGTTTTCGATTTATTTTATTTGATGATTGATTTGCTATTCTATCGCGTGTTTCATTATAATGATTTGTACGTTCGAAAGATGTTTTTTGATTAGAATTTTTTTCATTACGACGTGATGATATACGACGTGTTGTATTTTCAATTGAAGAATTTAAAGTTGTTATAGCACCATTAGATGATTCATCGTTTGGAATAAAATTTTGAAATGAAAAATTAGGACTAGATTAAAATTGAATTGAAATTTTAAAAAAAAACAAAAAAAAAATTATTTTTTTTTTTTTTTTATTTTCATACATTCGAGTATTTGGTGTTTTAGTAACAACAATCGATTGGCCATTTTTATCAACATTATGATCAAGACCATAGAAAGCAGCTACACGATGAACAATCATTCGTTCATCTATATTATGAAAAAAAAAAATATATATATTTTTCTTTTAATTGAAGAGAAAAAAAAATAAAAATTCAAATTAATTTCTACAAGAATTCATTGCTTGAAATTGATGTAATGTTTGTTCTTCATTTTGAATAAATTGTTGAAAAAGTTTTTCAAGATTTAAAAGTAATGTTCGATCTTTTGGATTATTACGTAATGTTGTTGTTATAAAAGATTCTGTATCAATACCAGAAAAATCTTTATATGGATTTGTTGTATCAATAGGTGATTCGATATTTATCGGTGTTTCATTTTCATCAGTAGATGATGAAACAACATTTGTTGTTATAATAATATTATCATCGTTTGTTGAAAGATGATGATTATCGATACTATCCGTCTAGAACACAAACATCAATATTTTATTTTAAAAAATAAGAGTCAAATCGATTTCTAAACATAACAAATTCATAATATAAATTTCGTAAGTTTTTTATTAGTATATCTATATTTAATATGGGTCACTGAGGACACATATGTTATTGATGATATCTGTTAGAAAAACATCATACGTATACAGAGTTTATATGTGCCCATCAACACGTATTGCAAGAAAATATCTTAAATTCGAGAATCTTTTTATTTCATATGAAAATTATACAAATCATTAGTTTTTCACAGTAAANCTATAGTGCAATAAGTTTGGAAAAAATTGGTATAATGGATTTCTCCAGTTCTTATCAGTCGGACCGCCAGGCGGCCGCCGGCGACCGCGCCGCTCCGCGCCTTGTTGAAAAAGAAAGCACAGGCGGCCGCACCGCTCCGCGCCTCGTTGCAAAAAAGTGCATGGGCGGCCGCGTCGATCCGCACCTCGTTGAAAAAGAAAGCACAGGCGGCCGCGCCGCCTCCGCCAAAAAGCTCTCTGGTGGTGATCGCCTCTACCACGATTTTGGGACTTCCGCCTCCTTTCCGCGCCGCCTCCGCCTCGCTTTTTAGGCGCGGTGCACATCTCTGGTCAGCACTATGATATATATTTATCTATTTTTTTTTACAACAAATAATGTCAACACTATGATATATATTTATCTATTTTTTTTACAACACATAATCTTAGCACCATGATGATGACAAAAGTACTCCCATTAATCGAGTACAATCAAGTAAGAACATTTTATCGACGTCTTCAATATTACTCTTTTGAATAAATTGGCCTAAATTAACAACATCAATAAATATATTTATAATATATATATATAGAATAAAAAAATGATCTCTTACTGATTTCGATGAAAACTTTTCTAAAAAAATTTTTTTTTTGTAATGTTGATTCATCATTGTTATTTAATGAATTGAATTGGTTATGAATATCAATTAAAGTTTTATGTTTTATACACATTTTAACAACAATTGCAACTATGCAGTTCATTTTTGTTTCACTATGTACTTTATGAATATTATTCACAATAAAAGATATTAATTCTTTTCGTTCAATAGTATCATTTTTGATTAATTCTTTTAATAAATCTGTATTATCATCAATGAGAATTAATTTTTCCATCATTTCTTGCATCTTCTTTTTCATATTTGATATTAACTGAAAAAAAATATATATATATATTGTTTCATCGACTTAAATACTTGACGAGGAACAATGACAAACAAAATGAAACAATAGAGAAGAATATATAATGACCTGCCTATTGTTGAGACATATAATCATTCGATTGAAAAAAGAAAAGAAAAATTTAACAATTTTTTCTTTTTCGTCAAATTATCTTCCAAGTTAAAAACAATAAACACTTACTTCATCTTTTTCTTTCATTTTGATCATCAACTGAGAAAAAGCATTAGCATTATCATCTAAAGCAAATAAGATATTTCAGTTTTTTTTTCGATAAAAATAAAAAGCGATATACATAATTCAATGATTTTGTGCATCAACATTTTTTTTCTTGTATTGTCTAATTCAAATTTCTTTTCCATATTGATATTACCGAAATTAAGCAATACGTCTTCCTTCTCAGCCACTTTAGATTTCATATCAAGTTTATAAAAAAATAATTTTATACTGAATGAATTACCATTTACTTCAGTAACTTTTCCAATTTGAAAATAGCCTGAATAATGTTTTTCATACATTGATTGATATTGTACAAAAAAGAAAAAAACTTACATTCATTGCTTTTAATGACTACAATATCATTTATTGAAATTGTTTTATATAATTCTATATCAGAATCATCATTATAATCAAGCATATTTGTGGTTATGTTATCAAATGAAGACATAGATATCAATTGTTTTTTCTTGTTGAATAGAGTATTTTAATCAAGTAAAAAAAGAAAACAAATAATCGATTAATCTATAGTAAAAGAAGAAGAAAAAAAAACAAATATGCCGTCTAACGAAAACAAAATTATATGAAGTATCATCTTTTAATATTTCTTGCTAAACGTTTTAGTGTTGTCATTCGATAAAATAAATTAAAGATAAGAAAATAATTACTTTACTCTATTTCTTTCTCGTTTTCTGATAACAGAAGAATTAGATAGATAAATTGATTGTTGTTTTTCATCTATTTATATTTACACAAAGAATATATAGAGATTACCATCAGAATAATAGACTGTAGAGGGCGTGTAAGATCGAATGAAGATTTTTCATTAATTTCAATATAATGGATTATGCAAAAGTTCTTCAAAAATATGTCACTTCGTTTTTCATCGATTAAAACATATTTCAGAAAAATCAAAAAAATCTATTCAGAATCTACGTTGAAAGCCTTTTCTAATTGTATGTTCAAACAAGTTTTACTATGTTTTACCCTTGAGTAACGAGCACATTTTTAAATAACACTAAAATATAGTCTATAGAAAGTAACTCACAATTGCTGCAGTAGAAGGAACCGATATTGTAGTATTTTTCGAATTTTTCCTATGCGTTCCATCATACATTGTTACCTTTTTTTCGTCATTAGATTTTGTTGTTTAATTCTCTGCTAGCTTAGTAAAAAAAAACAATACGATATCGGTTAAAGATCGGTTCCTTCTACTTGTGGATTGCTTTTTACAAACTACTTTCCATGTTATTTAAAGATGTGCTCGTTACTCAAAGGTAAAACATGATAAAATTTTTTTGATCATACAATGAAAAAGAGCTTTCTATATAGATTCTGAATAAGTATTTTTGGATTTTTTTCGAAACATATTTTAGTCGATGAGAAATAAAACGACATTTTTTGCCAGGAACTTCTGCATCACTCGTTATAAACATTAATGAGTGATAAAAATCCTATAGATTCTTACTCAATTATCTTATTACAATGAAATGCTTGATTAACATAGAAATTGTGTATGACTATATTAACCATAGTTTTAAGGTTTTCTTTTTCAAGTCAAGTCATATCGATATAACTTATTCAAATTACATATATCGATAATTTCAATTGAAATAAAGAGAAATCATCTTAAAAAATAACATATAAAACTTTGTTAATTCTTTCTTTGAAAATTATATTAAATTAATATCTTGGATAAACTAGATATCTTCAAATAGTCTTTGCTTTTTTTTCTTCCGAATTATAATTCTATAATTATCTTTGCTTTAGCTACTTCACCAGTTCAAACCAATGATAATACCACTGAACAACAACAACAATTATCACTTTGTAAACAAAAATTATTACCAGAAGAAGCACAGAATGTTTAAAAAAGATCACAACCTCCAAAAATAGATAGTGAAGATTTTAAAATCCTACCACTGCCTCCTCTTTCTCCTCTTTTTAATGTTCTAGCATCTTCAAATTCATCTTCTATGAGCAGTACTACAAAAGATATTGATCATTTAAATACTGTATTTATCGCTATTTTGACTTGTAATATTGATGAAGATGCAATACGTCAAGCACTGTCATCAGCTGATCAAATAAAATAAATTCGTCTTGTTAAACATGAATGGTCTGGTAAATGAAAAAGTTTTGGTTATGTTGATATTGTTACAAGTGATGGTTATCGTCAAGTATTAAAACTAAATCATATAGCCATAAATGGTCGACCAATGTGTATTAGTACTTATGATCCAAATAAATCCCCATTAACTGATATTACAAAAAAATTAAAATATGCCACAACTTTGACGTTTACGTTAGACAGATGATTTCATGTTTTACTCATTATAATGTGAATAAATTTAACTCATGAATATTATATATGTTTTAATTAAAATAGTTTGAATATTTCTTTTATTGTAAAACACGTGCTCTTTAAAAACTGTAATATTTTAATTAAAATGATTTTTTCAAATTAATATAAAATAAAAATACCTAGAAAACCAAGGGGGAACAAACTGATTTCAATAGCTGAAATCAAGTTGAAATCACTTGAAATCATCTGAAATCACCTGAAATCATCTGAAATCATTTTGTTCCCCCTTGAAATATATCTAACATCTGTCTTCATTGTAAAAAACTGAAGACTGATTAACTAATATTATATGATCGGAAAAACACAAAGATCATTTTTATTTTTTTATCCACAATAGAAAGAATATGCCTATCAACCTTCTTCGTTTTATGTTCTTATCAGTCTTTTACAGTTTTGTGATTAGTTTCTAATTTATTAGCTAAATGCTCAAAAAAAAAAAGGAAAACTTCTTATCGTTTCACAAAAAAAACCCAGAAACTCTATTACTAGAAAAATATCCAGCACAACTATGAATAAAGCTACAATGAATACAAATGACATGATTATATTATATGAAATTAATGATGCAGCATCAGTACCTACCTTCTTGACGGATTCGAGTGTACTGGTTAATTTTCGCTGCACTCACACACTCATATTCTAACATGTCAAGAGAGACTATCTAGTTTATGTTCAGTTTATACTGAACGTAGTTTTGAAAGAGATTTAAAAGCTATTGTAAATAAATTTGTATCGAAAAAAAAGTTTTCTGTAAGTAAATAAATAAATTGATGTAAGACTTGAATTTGAGATATTTTATATAATTAACCGTTTAAAGAAATTTGTCGATTCGCTTAGAATGTTTAGCATATGCCGTCTTTGGAAGTGACTACTGACAAAGTTTTTCGAAGGTAAATAAAATATTTCTACTTTTTTTTATATTTGATTTTTCGTTAAAAAAAAGTTGTTCAAATATAAAGCAGAGCTTCGCCTGCTGTATGGCTATTGTCCATTTGTTGTCTTTATACGGGCGTAGATCTGAAGTAGATATGTAAGAAGCGAGCAACTTTACAAAACTCATGCTCAAACCTACACCGTCACATCAAGTAAACCAAACTTTATCTATGAAACTATATTGATGCATATAGGCCAAATTTCCATTACTGATTAATATGGAAGTTAACAGTGACAAAATTTCGAATTTTCAAACATAGAATATTGTTTTTTTTTTGGCAGAAAGTTGGTGTTCTACTTCATAAAGGGCTCTAATATGATATTTATACATTCATTTGCCTCATGTCAAATATTTTTCCTGTTCAATGACTTCATACGATTCAGTGTGATTAATTTCATGATATTTTTCTATAAACATCGCACACATTGAAAGACGGACGATAACAAACCTTTTTTATTCGAAAAAATAATTTATACTCAAGTCAATAGCATTCAGCAACAACAGATCAACAAAAAAAGATTCAAAGCTAATGAACTACTGTTATTTTTTTATTCAATCCTATTGCTTTCTCAATATCGAACGATAAGATAAATAAAATAATATTTTCTTTTTTTCTTCATTTTACATTTATTTCAAAACCAAAGTGCTTTTTGATAAATATTTATGGTTATTTAAGTTACATTTAACTATTTATTCTCTAGACTGAAAAGATAAGGTCTAGACACGGGAATTTATGGAGAGGTTGCTAATCGGCGAAAGGCTTTTCGGCGAAGTTTTTTCAGCGAATGAAAACAGCGAAAAGAAAATTGAGCAAAGAAATTTTGAGCGAAAACACTGTTAAGCGAAGAAGCAAATCGGCGAAAAGACATATCAGCGAAGAAGTAAATCAGCGAAAAGCAGAGTGAGCGAATTTTTTTTCACAATAATAAAAAAGAAAATTCAAATAGAAGAAACTTTCTTCATAATCAAATAGAAAAAAAATTCGCTGTAATTTTTTTCGCTGTTTTGCTCCTTCGCTAATTTAGTTTTTCGCTATTATTTCTTTTCGCTGTCATGTTTTTTCGCTAAATCGTTTTTCGCTGTTTTTTTTCGCTGAAAAAGTCATTCGCTGAAATGCTTTTCGCTGAAACGACACCATTTCAGAATTTATCTGTATCTATCTGCCTGTAACATAGTTACCATATGGTAGATAGAAGATAGATGTGATGCGATATTTATTAAGAGCTAGAGAATGAATCTAAAGAAAAGGTTATTATAAACAAAAATCATAGTATTTGAATAATGTGATATTTATTTCTTTATTGCAAATGAAATAGCACTAAGATAACTAATTGTAAGTCAAAAATATACATAACATAAGTTTTATTGCAAACATGTTGAAGATAAATAATAATATCAATGATGAGGTTCAATTATCATTTGATATTGAAAATAAAGTTTTAGAAACAATATGAAAGAACAAAATCGAATATAACTAAATAGTTACAACAGTGCAACGATCGATAAACTAAACTGAGCTCAATTAGACACGTGTAGCATATTCAAAATCATTTTTCTTGATAAACATAAAAATCAAGTTTTATAATACAAAAAAAAAGAATTTGTTTTTGGGAAACGAACCGGTTTTATATGGCAAGACATTTGTTGCAATTATATAGTACTTGACTTAATGCACGTTTATATCTAAATACGACTATATGCATATCACTATTCCGTCAGTCGAGTCTTAACGAACGTTACTTCATTAAATGTACTTTATTTGACCTAATGAAATAAAAGAAATAGTAATTGTTACATGTAGTTGAAAAAAATGTATTAAAAAACATCCGTTTTAATGCTTGGTTCTTTGGGAGATGATGGTGGGACAGCTGTTTTAATAAAAAGTTAGGCAAAATATTTTTTCAGCTGCTTTGAGGATCTCTACTATGGACTATAAATGAATATTAGACTAGTCATCAACTCAAACTTTGTGACAAAAGGACTAGATAAGATATACTATCACAATTAGTCTTTTTTGCTCACCTGACAATTGTTTATTAGGGTAAAAAGCGTCAAGTTTAAATATATCTAAAACAATCATTACTTGTTCTTACCACTCGTTCAAAATTATCAACAATAATTGATAAGTTTTCATAGTTATCTAAATAATGCTAGCCTTGTTTTTTTTTTAAATAGCAATTCATTTCTTTTAAGCAAAATCCGGCAAAGTTTGAAAATATGTACATGGATCAGAAACAGAGAGCATCAATATAATTTCTTATTTAGTATAAATAAAAACAGCTCAAATTTCATATTGACTATTTTGAGGATTCAAAACAAAACTAGTTGCCATGCTGAGTAGCTGAGAAAAAAAGTTACTTATGATAAATTTATAGGGGCCATTTATTAGATAAAATAATATTTTTCTTTTCAGAACTTTATCTTACACTTAATCTTCTTAAAAATACTTTCTTTAATCATGTTTTAGTACTCGTAATAATGATAGGTTTTTTTCATTTAACAAGTCAAATTTATGAATGAATGAATACATACGAATATTTTCATACACGTACAAGGATTATTTCATTGACATAATATTCAACAAGTGTTTAACTACAAGAAAACTTGGATGACAATAATTTATCTTTCGCTTTTCTTTTTTTCATCTATGATATATCTATCAATTATGCAATGGCTAAAGAAGATAAAACAGTGTTCGACAGAGATCTAATTCTTCATAATCCGAGCCATACTCTTTCTCTTGAGAAAACAAATTTTTCCATCCTTTTTTACTCCATGCATTTCGTAGTTGAGTCAATCCGATTATGTGCCGAAAGCTCCTTTTTTTCCAATTTTCGTTATGATATCCTGTTCGCATATAAATAGCGTCCAAAAACAACACATTTTTTCAGAACTTTAATTTTTTTCCTCAAGCTTTAAGATAATTAAAACAAAAGTTAGACGCCACTCTCCCTGATGACAGATAATGAACGATATCGATAATTAAACAATCAATCAACAATGTTCTTTAGACGAATCTTGACAGGCCTTTATAGAGTTCTCGCAATGATGAATTCTACAATGGCTACTTTTCATTTCGTGTCATGTTTTGATCAGCTGATTAATGGACACTCAAATTTTTCTCAGTTACAACCACCGACAGAAATACCCTGCTTTCAATGGAACAGAAACAACTTCAAGTGATACATCATTCGAGTTCGACTCTAAAATTGATTTTTCGTTTTTTTTTTTTCGGAAACTCGATTATTTCATATAATCGATATTTGTGTTTCGCAACACATTTCGTATTCGAGTTTTACTCGCATACCATCTAGTTATTTTTTGCAGTCAAAAAAAAACAAGTTTTAATTGATAAGTTTATTGAATCATGATGAGAAAAAACAAAAAAATAATATGTTTACTAACGCATGAAATGAAATAAGAAGCAAAAGAAAAAAGCTTCGTTAGTTATTATAGTATAGTTGTGTGTGTATAGAAAACCTTTGTGTTGCTTTTGTTTTCTCATGTCTATGTACGAACATTAAAAAAGTAATCATGTAAAAAAAAAAAAAACTCTAACTAAACGTGCATAGCATTTAGTATAAAATTAGTATCCATCACAATAATTTTTTTCAGTTTATTTGAATTAGTACTAACTAGTGGTAGTGCTTTCATGAAAAAAAAAATAAAAATTTGTTCAATTTAAATATTGAAATTATACATTTCAGCTTGACCCAGAGTTAGCGACCAACTGCAACTGTCGTTGTAGTTGTAGTAGTAGTTGTAGTAGTAGTAGTAGTTGTTGTTGTTGTTGTAGCATCAGTAGATAAACCACTAAAACCTATATTACGGAAAAAACATCAAATAATATACATAGAAACAATAATCTGATAATATTACCAGTATCACTTATGCTTTCTACATTAAAATTTACGCTACGATAACCAAAATAATCGAAGCTTGCCGCGAATGCTAGGCCAATCAATTTCTTTAAGTGTGCAGCTGAGCGACAACTCGGACAGCTTACATAGTTTATCACTGCAGTCATAAACAGCTTTCCATTTCGAACATCACGACGCGTACGACTCATTAGGCTTTAAAATTAAAAAAACAAACTTCAAATGAAGTTAATCTGTCGAATTCATTTATTTATATGCATACTGAGATCGTCGACGTCTACCCGATGATGATACAGCAAATGCGCATGAGGATGAGCTGATAGAACTACTTATCTGAGAAAAAAGTGTATGAAGAAGATTTTTAATTTGAATGCAAATAGTTTATTGTCTTACCGAGTTTGCTATTGTATTACATGCACTTGCTGATGCTGTACCATATGCTGGAACGCTTTGTGCTGGATTTAATACGAAATATTTTGTTGCAGTTGAAGAAAGATCTTCAATAGAAAATTATTTTCATGAAATCATTGTCGTCTTGTATGAGTGCGATTTGTTTTTCTTTTTTTCAAATATCTTTCTACTTACTTGATATATCTTTCTTAGGCAAATATACTGGAATAAGAGCTAAGACAATTGTTGCAGCAAGTAAGAAAAGTAGTATACAAAGACAGCCAATGGCAGCTAATGGCAAAGCAGCCGCACCGCCTCTATACACGAGAAACAATATTTGTTTTAATGAAAAAATAAATATCAACAAAAGTAAAAGAATTTTATTTACCCTCTAGCCCCTTTATCAACAGTCACTGGTGCTGGCAACATGTATATGCTTGAGATACACGGACTACGTCCTTTTTTGTTTAATGCTAATATAAAACTAATGATTGCATTTTGCGCTCGAATTTATACTTGCTTTCACTTGTTCTATGCCTTTTTCCCCTGTATTTACTTCAAAAAAAAAAAATCACTTTACTGCTTAATTGATCAACATTATAAAAAGATACCAATTGTCCCCCAAATGTACAATAAGTTAATGATTGTTTGAAAGCTAGTTTTGATTGCAATAAAATTGCATAATTAAAATAAGAGGAATAGAGAAAGTAATTAGGAATTTATTGATAAATGTGGTATCTAAACAAGCGTGACAATGACGCATATGCAAAAACTTAATCTAGAGAGAAGTGCACACTTATGTGAAATGTTGTATGTATTTATCATAGTCAAGAGAAAATTAAAAACATGACTTTATATGTCTATCGCTAATGCATTTTTTTTTCGTTACAACGCAAATTGTACATTTAGTTCGAATTCAATTTTTGATACTGAAAGAACTCAGTAATTAATATCGACATTGAAATTTCAGATTTTTTGCATTCAAATATCTCAATGATATATTGATTGAACAATACCAAAAAAAAAAACAAGTGCGTACATTTTGTATAAAACTTTCTCTAAATACGAGAGCTATGATTTATTAATGTAAGATTTTTATATTGATAGGTGAAATGGTTTCAATATAAGCAACGTTTATTTTCAAATAATTTAACATCTTCATTATCGTAACATGTCTATTGTTGGCATTGAATTGATCGACAATAAAATACATTAGAGTAAATTTCATTAAACAAAAATAGTTGATTCATCACAAAATACGTTTCGATGTATTCCATTGAGATGAGTGCAGAAAATTTGATTTAGTGATCAACAAACGACGAATGAAACTATGTTTTGCTCTTCCATTTCGCTTCATTGGACAAATGACAATACAGAAAAATTCAAAATCAAAACTTAAATTTCATTTATCAGTCATGTATCGGTGATAATATGCTTCCCAAATTATCATAATGAAATTAACTTTTTCTATCGTTGAAAAGAGTTTTAATACGTTTGAAAATACTCTCGAATTGGACCATTCCTGTTAACATCATTCTTTCATTTGATTTATAGATAAGCTAGAGATGTGATGTTCTATATATATCTACTAGAAGTAAGATAAAATTATATCAGAATAGTACATGAAAATTGACAAGATTCTTTCGAAAGACAAATGAACGCTTAAATGATGTTTCAACATGTTTGGAAAAAAATGCAGAAAAAACGCTATATAATTACTTCGTTAAATGAACAAAAACAAATGGTTAAAACAGAATTGTTCTTATATAAATATATTTTGATGCATTTTAATATAAAAGAAATTGATTACTATTCATGGATGTATGCATACGAAATAGACTTTATTAATAATTGTTTGTTGAAAGTTGATTACTATTTTTGCTGTTTTTAGCCGTAACAACAAGTTTAATAATTCGATCATATTTGGTGTAATGCAATTAGAATGAAAATGTTACTTAATCTTCTTCATGGTGAGAGTCAAGAGATTTAAAGTGTTAGAACAAACACTAGGAAATTGACAGTAAAAAATTGAAGTCAGTTTTAGAAAAAGAAAGCTAAAGCAGTTTCATAGCGTTTTCGAGAAAACATATTTTTCATACCTTCTTTGTATGACATTATTTAGTTGCGATAAAATTCAATCATATTTTTATTTAAATCATCCATATAATTAATCACAATGACAAATTTTTTTTGTATTCTGGTTCTAGAAAAAAAAAGTTATTCATGATATATTCAAATGTTTGTTGAAAGGTGAAATAAGTACACAACAACAAACCAATCAAATAAAGATACGTCGTATGTTACCAGTTACCATCTCAACATCGTACAGAAAATCATATTCAAGTTCCCATTCTTTTTTTCAATGAGAACTAAACTTACTTTAATCAAGGGAGTTAGTAGATTTACAAAACTCTCAATCACCTTTCATGAAAACATAAAATTGTAAAATTGTTCGAGAGGCATACCTGATACTGTTAAGAAAACCATATACATTGATGACAAACATGTTCTTTTCTTTTTCTCCTAATTATGATGTAATGACTATGATATTTTACATAAATGTGAGCTTGTTGATAGTTTAAATTTTAGCTATAGATCCTCGACATGCTTGTTTAGAAATTGTCATTTTTAATAAATTACTAATCTTTTTTTCTCTCTCTATTCTTTTTGTTTTAATTACGTGCATCTATCATGATGACAACTAGTTTTACAACCAACGTTGTCACACTATACACTTGAAAAATGATTAATGTAGTTTCTTAATATTGATCAATTAAGCAACGAAGTTATGAGACAGCTTTTACTTGATTTAGTTTACAGTCACGATTGTTCGCCCTTCAAAAAAAGATATTTCAGCAACGAATTATTTTATTAAATAAATACAAAGAAAATGAGCAGAAGAAAGAAAAAAGGGAGTGTATGCCTCAGAGTATCACCAGTGACGCTACGCGGTGCACGTGAGGAGCAATAGGGTGCAATTGCTTCCCCGAAAAAAACATTTGAGAGACAGAGTAGGAGATAGTTTCTCCCTTCGATGTCTTCCTGTTTTCATGGTTACTATGGAAAGACTGATACCTAGTGTTTAAATTTTGTTTTATTCTATGTATACGGCTATACTTTTATCACATTAATCAAATATGTGTCATTATAAAAGCAAGTGAAGGCTGATTAACGACTATCGTGTGATCGGAGAAACAGATATATCACTCTTTTATTTTTATCCATATTAAAAAGACAATGCTCAACAGCCTTCTGTTTTTTATGTTCTTTTTAACCTTTTACAATTTTGTGATTAGTTTCTAATTTATTAACTATATGTTTGAAAAAGAGTAGAATTTTATATTATTTCACAAAACAAAAGCAGAAAATCCATCAAAAGAAAAAAATATCCCGTACAACTATCAATAAAACTATGGTAAATTCAAATAAAATAATTATATTAGGTGAAACTGATGATGCAACATCAGTACTCACCTTTCTTGACGGTGTAAGTATACTTGTTAATCTTCTTTGCGTTGAAGTTTGGCGAGTTCAGAAAAATGGGAACCGTTAACTCATCAGATAGATACAAAAATCTTTCGACCTATGCCGAGAAATTTTCATTTTTTTATTATTGAAATTAAAGATTTTAGTAGATATTTACAATATTGTTTCGTTCAAGTACTGGAATATGTGACACCTTTAATCTCAACAATCGAGTAGTAAAAATTTATCAAAATACTTAAATTTTTCATATCTATCTGATGATTTAATGGCTCTGATTACAAACAATATTGTGAGAACCGAAACAGAACTTTTTTTTTAAAATTTTTGGTAACCGTCGATCTCTACTCTGTACTTAACCATACTCATATCCAAAGAAATCAAGAAATATTATCTAGTTTATCTTTCGTTTATATTGAATGTAGTTTTGAAAATAAACAAATAGGCTAATGCAACACTTAAACTGAAATATTCTTTTATAATTACCTTTTTAAAAATTTATTGTTTCTCCTAGAAAATTTAGTTTGTGTCGTCTATACCTGTGACTGCTGAAAGAGCTTCTTGGAAGTAAAATAAAATTTTTTTTGACTTTTGTTAATATTTTATTTTTCAAAAAAAAAACAAGATTTGCTGATGTATAATGTGAAGCTTTGGCTACTGTATCACCACTAGCATCCCTTTTCTGTCTTTCTGTGCTACTTCTCTTAATTACTGAAACAATTGTCTTAGCTCTTATTCGAGTTTTGCTTTAGGAAGAAAGATATTTGAAAAGAAAACGATTTGAACTCATATAAGACGACATTGATTTCGTGAAAATATCAAGTGTTTACAGTATATATACTGGTACATCAACGAGTGTACGTAATAGAATAGCAAGCAAGATGACATAATAGATTAGTTAACATCTTAATTAGAATTCGACATATGCAGTTTTTTCTTAGACGACTAGTGTAGCTAATCTTTCAATGATTACAGCGAGTCCATCTTCATGCACACTTGCTTCATAATCACTGAGTAGAGACGTCGAAGAGTTCAGTATGCATATAAATAAATTAACATATTAGCTTTAAAGATCAATAAGCTGTGACCTCTACTTCTGCTACTGGCTAAAATGAATAGTTTCAATATTTAAATTGAACAAATTTTTGATTTTTTCATCAAAACACTATTACTCATTAGAACTAATCTAGAGAAAGTAGAGAAATTGATTGTGATGGAATTACATAGGTTGTTTGTTTTTTATCTGGATATTTTTATAACATTCATAGGAGGAGCGCAGAAATAAGAAACAAAGCAAGCATTTTATTTACGTATACATCAATGCTACAATCACTAGTCACTTTTTTTTTCTTATTTAATACGTCGGTAAACATATGATATTTTTTGCTTATTCAATAAACTCATTAATTACGACTGTTTTTTTTTTGTATATAATCCTATCTATTTTCTCTATGTTATATAATTGGTTAACATAATACTAAACGTATCTCGGTCGAAGTTCCTCATATTTTTCGATGCCTTTTAATGTATGTATTCAACCAAAGGAAAACTTTCTCATGGAGTTTTAAATATGCAAATATATTTTCATAATACGGAGATGAAATTATAATCATGATTCATTGGAATTATTTAAATAAATCAGCTCGTATATATCAAGCATCATACAATTTATTATTTTCTTTAACCATCAACTGATTGATAAGTAGCTCATTCTTTGCAGTGAAAATTTTTAGTAAAAAATATCTAAATTAAGAATTTATTAAAAAAGACATCCATGCTTATGATATCATAATAATGATAAGGACGAATCGTATGCTTTTATCATGTGTAAAATGAAAAGATTATTCGTGTCAATATGCACAATCTTGATAAACATATTCATACGGACTAATGTAAACGACGATGTAAGTACTTTAGTGGTTTATCACAATGAAATAGTTTCCATGTTTTGTAAAAAAAAAATATTTTCTCAACATTTACTAGGGTTAATCTATATCATTGAGGAAAAAAACCTTTTCCTCTTATAAGAAAATTGATAGACTACTTTTACTTCAGTAACTAAACTATTTCGGAAAGCTAATCATTTTTTTTTCTCTACAGATGATCAATGTTAGATGTAACTACTCATCATCATACTCGTTCGAAAATTAATCTGACGACTTTCAGAGTATATTATACAGATAGACTGAAACAATAGGCGCATATATAACATCGTAATAAGTATGCTATCGAATAAAATAATCTCATATTATAATGGTTACTAATAATTTGTACAAGATTTTATATCAATACGCTTAAATTACATATTACGGACAAGAAATAATATTTTTTTTCTTTTTGTAGAGCAATATTCGTGTACACTTTATTCTTATTTAATTACGTTAGAAATGAACTTATTAATATTTTTTATGATAATTATAACATTACATATAGTCCATGTTGACTGTCATCAATACCGACATCCTAGTGTAAAATTAATGAAGATGAATAGTGATTTAAATCTTGGTTATATTAATGTTCGTTCGCCACCATACAATGCAACAGGTAATGGTATTACTGATGATACAGATGCTATTCAACGAGCTTTGAATGATACGGGTAATATGGGTGGTGGAATTGTATTTGTACCTGAAGGAAATTATTTAATTGCTAGTCATTTAATTTTACCAGCTGCTACTGTATTAAAAGGTGTCGCATCACATGTTCAAAAACATTGGGGTGATCCTAATAAAAAAATTGTTTTTGGTACAACACTTTTAGCTATTGCAGATGCTGGAAATGAGAATGGTACATCGTTTATTTCATTATCAGGTGATAGTAGTGGTATTGAAGGTTTACAAATTTTCTATCCAAATCAAGTTCCAAGAAATCCACCTATAGCTTATCCATGGACAATACGATGTGGACAAAAAGGAATAACTGCTGAAAATAATTTTGTTAAAAATGTTCTATTAGTTAATTCATGGAAAGGTATTGATGCAGCAACATATGAATCATCACGTCATTGGTTTGAAAACATTTATGGTCAACCATTAGCAATAGGTATAGCTGTTGATCAATGTTATGATATTGGAAGAATAAATCATATACATTTTTGGCCATTTTGGTCAAGTGAACCATCATTATGGAATTGGATTAATAATAATGGAATAACATTTTTATTTCAAAGAACTGATTGGGAAATAGTTGAAGATGTTTTTAGTTGGGGTTATCAAATTGGTATGGCTTTTCGTGCAAGTAACAATGGTGCTTGTAATGGACAATTTACAGATATTAATTTTGATAATGTTGATATTGGAATTGATATATCATATACTCAAACATGGGGAATATTATTTTCAAATTTAAATTTAGCTAATGCAGGTGGTGGTTCAAATCGTATTGGAATATTAGGACGTGCAATAAATGGTACAAGACCAACAGATGCAATTGTTGTTGTACGTGGTGCTTCATTTTGGGGTCAATTTCATCAAAATCTTCTTTGGTCACATTCAGGTTTAATTTCAATTAGTGACTCATTATTTAGTCAATGGAATAAAACATCACCAGCAGCTATTGAAATTCAACATGGACGAGCTATGATTAATAATAATTATTTTGGAGATAATATTGGTAATGCTGTAACAGTCTTACAAGATGCTGATAAAGTTACAATTACTAATAATCATTTAAATGGAAATGAATTAAATGTAGTTACTAAACCGACTGTTTTAGTTGCGAATAATTTACCTTAAATGTTTCATGAAAGTAATCAATGATAAGATTTTATTTTTCGATTGATTAATATTTAGTTTTTTGAAATAAATAAAACAGAAGAAAAATAAACAATTAATTATATAATGTGTGTAAAAAGCTCTTGAGATGAGACTTTTGTCTTTAAGTATAGTGTAACGAGGTTAAATAAAAACTATAATCGTTTATTTCCTTTTTTTTCTCAAGTTATGATAATTTTATTGACAAGAGAATCTCAACCGATGCTCTTATTCTGATATTTTTAACTTTTAGATACTCTAATAAAAGTCCTAAAACAATTTCAGTTCCTATGCAGACTTAACGGAACTAGTGAATTTTAATTCTGTCTATTATTTACCAGAGATTCCTATAGGATCCAATGTTTCGTAAAAATCATGTTTTAATGTTTGATCTTGAAACTATCTTCATTGAAAGGTCTCCTATACAGTAACCTACAGGAAGATTTTCAGAGTTTATAGACTTCATATTTCTAAGGTAAAAACTTTTCGAAACGTAATGCATCATACAAGCCACTGTATTTTAAATCTTCGAATGAAGGCAGTGCGAAGACCAATTTCAAAAACACAATTTTTTTTCTCGAAAACTTGAGATCGTACAGAGGTCTTTGGCTTATGTAGTATCTATATGCAAAGAAACAATTGAAATCAGAAGGATAGCATCTGTCGAAGTTTTTTCATGAGGAAAAATATCATTGCTCGGGAAGAAAGCATTAGGATGAGGTTCTGATTCTTCTCTTCATCCACATTCAAACCTTCGATTAGATAACAGTTTTAATCAACTTGATCACCAACTAAGATTGTAATCGATCGATTCGATAATGCACTCATTAATTATAATAAAATGTTATATATAGAATCGATCATATTTGATTTAGACTTGTTTTCAGTTATCAATTCATTCGACAAAACTGGAAATTATTCAGCAAGTCATTATAGGTTTTACTGACTCTCAATAGAATCTACTTTATGATAAACGCTTGTACTCGAAACATTTTTCTCACCTCGGAGGCTCCGTTGTAAGTAAAAGACACTCGACTATACACTACTATGCTCCAAGTCAGAAATAAAAACATTTTTCACATTCGAATAACTTTTTTATACAACTAATGCTATTAGTTAAAACAGAATAGTACTATTTTCAAAAACGATGAAATACTTATATTATTTCAATGTGGAATCAACAGAGAAAAGTTTATTTTGATTGAGTACATTCAGAGATCTACTAACAACTATTTTACTAAAATAGATTTTACAAGATGGATAAGAAGACTTTAGAAATAAACTAAAATTCAACGAAAAAGACTTCATGTATTAAATTGTATCCTATAAAAAGCTGATCGCCAGTGGTAGAGTTAGAACACTAGTTCCTCTTTTGTTTATGGAAGGTTGATGGAGATTGCAGTTACTTTATTGGTACCCTATATTCTTGATAACACGACGAATTTAACGAGGACACTAGTGTTCTAGTTTTACCATTATTGACCGTATTCAGTCTATATTTATGAATGTTGCGAGTCAAGCCACTAAACAAGTCTATTTTAGTATCGTAATAAAATGCTAGGTTTTACTAAATATATTTGTATAAGAAAATCTTTATTTCTTCGACGGATAAACTTAATATTGAGTCATATTTTCGAGCATGCTCAGAAAACTATTTAACAAACAGATTTTGTTTTTTACAAAAAAAAAAAATAATCAAAAATATCGATTTTTTTTTTATACAACGGATATCATTGATTCCCAATTATCACCCGATTTAATTTGTACTGGTAATGATAAATTAATATGATCATTTCTTTCCATTGCATGACGAATTATATTAATAATTTCATTTGTACGTAAACTTATTTCAATTTCAAATATCAATTCATCATGAATCTGCAAAACAAGATAAACTGGTCGAATAGGTATTGGTCGAACTAAACAAACAAATCGTTGTATCATTTGTTTGTATTTAAAAAAAAGAAAATTTATGTTCTTTACTTTTTAAATCAAAAGGAAACATTCGATCTAAAGTTTGATTAATACGTTCCATGGCCACTTTCATTATATCACAAGCAGATGCTTGGATAACAAAATTGATTGCTTGTCGTTCCATCTTTTCAAAAAAAAAAAAATTTTTTTTTTATTTAAAAAAATTTAATTTAAATTACTCGGGCTTTCATCGTTTCGCTCGATGTCATATGATTTAAATCAAAATATAATAGACGTCCATAAATACTTTGTACATAACCAGTTTCAAGAACACGTCGTTTAATATCATCAAGATATTCAGTCATTATTGGAAATGTTTTATAAAAATTTTCAACAAATTCTTCTGCTTCATTGATATTCATTTGTGTTTCACGTGCAAATGTTTCTTTTGACATTCCATAGAGAATACCATAACAAATCTAGATATTAATCGAAATTATATAAATAAATTATCATAAAAAAATTTCTACTTGTTTAGCATTTTGACGTTGTTCACGTGTTATTTCATGTTCTGGTTTTTTTACAAGATCAGAAGCAAGTGATATGAAAAAATCAGTATTATTTATTAAACATGTTTTTAATTTTTCATCATTAGAAAGATGTGCAAGAATACGTAATTCCAATTGAGAATAGTCAAAAGAAATAAGTTGAAAACCTAGAAGAAAGTTTTTATTTTATGAAACAATGAAAATAATTTGTAAACGGCAACAAGATTGTTGTTAATAAATTATATAATATACAGCTAATTATTAGATCTATTCATTGTGATCATCAAGTAAAAATATGTACGTCATCGTTGAAACGAAAATAATCCAAAAGAAAGATCGTCGAATTTCGCTTGATGATCAATAACTGTGTTCTTCGTTTCGACGATCATTCGTTTTGCTCGTACATCAGATATATATCGTATAGAGAGAGAGCGTAACTATTTAACTATGATATGTGCATCATGAATTGGGACTTTATCTTTTAGTTACTAAACTAAGTTAATGAGGGAACTACCTGAATTGATATCCGTCAGTTGAGATTATATTAATTTCACACAGTAAAAAAGAAATTGTTACTTTTTGTTTTACAATATTTGTTATTGATCATTACCTGTTCGAGCAATAATCATTTTTCGTAATTGAACTGTTGATTCTTTTTGTAATGATTGAATAAGAAAACGTTTTGGAATATGTTGTAATGGTGGATTAACAACAATCATACGTCCAGTTGCTGTAAAAAAATGACAATAAGCATAAGTACGTTCAGTTTGCCATGAAGCTTCTCGTCGCAAACGTTGTAATGATTGTGGTTTACTTGGTTCATTAATATACTAAATAAGAAAGATAAATATCCAAATATTCAATTTGAATACCTGTTCAAAACGATCAATACATCGATCAAGAGCACTTTGAACTTGTCGATATTCAGTTATTAATTTTGGTAATGGATGTTTAGTAGCTAAAATATTTAAATAAGATTTTTTTAGACATATACGACCATGTGGTGTACGTTGTATTGGTAAATGAAGTTCACTATAAAGAATCTAAATATAAAATTTAATTGAAAAATAACAAATATAAATATGAAAAAAAAAAAAAAAAAAAACTTTATTAACTTTTATAAGATCTTTTTGTCTATTCATTTTAAAACGACGTTTAACTAAACGATATGCTTGTAATTCAAGTTTATTCATTAAAGTCTAAAATTAATAATAAGAATTAAAAATAAATAAATTGAGATGAAAAATTATATATATTTATATATACAAGAAGATCTTCTCGGTCATTAATTAATTCTTCACGGTCAATTAAAATTCCATTGAGTAACATCTGAAGCATAATATTCAATGCTGGCATTTCAATAGTTATATAATAATTCCATAAATTTATTTTATTCATTTGTTGTTCAATTATTGGAACAATTGATGCATAAAGAAGAACTTCACCAGCTATTTTAAAACATGCCATTTCACGATGACTATCATCTTTATATGCATCAAGACTTTCTATTAAAATAAACAATAGAAATAATTTTAGTCATCTTAGAATTATTTTACTATCAAATTGAAGTACACTATGATGTTCTTCAATCCAAGTTGAAATTCTATCAGATTCAATAGGATCTTGTTTTAACCATGCACATACTTGTAAATCAATAATTCGTGCTACAAAAATTTAGAATTACAAATAAAAAATATTCAACAAAAAAAAAAACACAACAAAACCAACCATATACTCTCGGTATAGCTAAATAAGATGAGAGTGTAAATAATGTATGTAATGCATTGAATACAATTACATTATGTTTTCGGTTCATTAATTTTTCTCGTATGTGAATAAGAGCCGACATCCGGTGTTGTTGGAAGTCTAAAAAAGAAAAAATAGTTTATTTTACAACAAAATTTTGTTTATGAGATAAAATACTACAATTTCAGTGATATTAAGCATACAACGGCGATGGTGATCACCGATCTTAGATAGAATGTTACATTTGTCCGAATGTGCATGTAAAGAATAATGATGGACATATAATAAAACTACGATAATAGAAACAACTAGAATGGCTTGGTTTTCCAGATCTTCGCTCTCGAGATATCGAAATTCTAGTGAGTTGGTTTTTCTCATCAAGTCATACGAAAAAATTAACTTTCGAGTTTTGACTTCAAACTTTGCATGAACATAGTTCTCAATGAAATTAATTTATTGGGCAACTTTAACATTTCTATAGTATCTTTTATTCTAAGATATTCAACATTCGAAATTTTCTCATATATAAAAGCAAATTTTATTCATATATTTACATCTCAAGCAATGAAATATTAGTTGCACAACCAATTAATATTATTAAGAGCTTTGCATGAAATAAGTTCGAAGTCGAAACTTAACTTTCCATGTAACCTGAGCAGGATTACAGCTTTTTTGTTGAAAAACTTTCTAAAATTTCAATACCTATAGAAGGAAAACTCCAGCAGCCAAATCATTTTAGATTCTTCTTTTACTCATTAAATGAGCATCGTCTTG